GTCTGCTCTGCTGCAAGCACGGCGTGGTCTGTGCCACAGCAGTCGCTGGGAGCCGAGGCTTCCTGACGAGAAGAGGCTGAGACAGAGGCCGCGTCTGGAGCTGTCTGGGAGCACAGCAGGGTTTCCTCTGTGGGATAAATGAGCTAGGGCTCATTTCTGCGTGCGCAGTGAGAGCCCTTACTATCATCCAAGCCTGTGCAGAGCTAAGAATAGAATAAAGCAACATCAGCAAAGTGCTGTGGGAAAACTGCGTTGCTCCAGATGGCTCCTGATAAGCTCTTTTCTCATCTGAGATTAAAAACAAAATAGTAGTAAATGATGGCCGTTTCCCACTGACATCTTATTTTGCATGCTTATTTAGGAGCTAAAAGACAGCTAGGCAAAGTGTGTAAATCAGCCATGGATTTGTCTGAAAACATTTGGGAAACTAAGAATTGGCCAAAGCTTTCCAGAAAAAAATAGTATCATTAAGAGTTAAAGAAAAAAAAAAAACCCTTTTCAGTTTTTCCTTCTTGCTTGCTTTGTTTTGTCTAATTCATGTAGTACTGAATGAAGGGCAGCAGTCTGTGTCCTGCAGGATTGCATTAGGGCTTCTCATTGAGCTTCAAAGAGAGGATCTTCATCCCATCTCCGAAAGAGGTGAGGGGGACAAATCCCAGGTGTGATCTAGCTCTGCTGGCCACGTGTCACATGCAGCTGCCCTGTCACCTGGCTCTGCTAAAGACCAAAGTAATTTTGAGGTCGCAGCTCACAGTTGGGCCCAACGGAGGAGTTAGAAAATGACTTGCATTCTTGGTAATTATTCTTGATATTGGGCTTTTTGGGTAAAGCATATGTTTGCATTTCCTAATTCGCTGGCATGCTTTTACTTCGGATTAACTAATTCTACAGAGAGAGAAAAGCAAAAACAGACCTGGCACCCCTGTGGCTATTTCTTATGTTTGCTTTATGGGAACCAAGTCCTTGCTTAGAAAGATAGATCGGTTCCTTTGCACTGACACCACTAGGCTGTTGAGAGGACGTCCCCTTGGTGTGAGTACTCGGTGTAAGCCAGCTCTGAGCAGGAGAGCCTGAGCACACGACACAGCCTACAATGGTGCAGTTTCAGGTATAAGTTTCAGCTTTGCAATACAAAATATGCTTTTAAGGCAGTAAAGAAGGCAGGAATAAGCACAGACCTGTTAATTCTCTTTTATGTGAAGACTTGCTTTTAGGTAGTCTCTTCTGATCTTTATACAAATTACTGCTGGATCTGCTGGCCATCCAGGCACTAATCTGGATGCTGTGTTGTTAATACTTTCTCTTTTTGGGTGCAGGGACCTTGTGCGAAGCCAATCAAATAGGGTTTGATGTCCAGTTTCTCTCACTCACAGGTAGGGATTGTGAACTTTATCAACTTCTCAATCGCTAAGAGATTGGTAGTAAAGTCTGGAGTCATCAGAGCAACTGAGCTAGTGGCCAAGACTGCCTGACACAGCTCAGGTAAAAATGCCAGTTTCTGTTCTTTCTGCTTTTCTCTGGCACAGTTAGCTAGTACAGTGTGGAGCTGCTTCCATGTAAAATCAAATGAGACCTCATCCCCTCTGCAAATGAAAGCTGGCTGAGACACTGGCTGAGGGTATTTCTTCCTGTCTGCATTGTTTTCCTTGAGTATTTTAGATAAACGCTCTTGGTTGCTCTTGTATAAATTCAGGAAAACCAGGAATGGTGATTCATATTGTGTTTCTGTCTGTCTCACTCTCCGGAGAAGTTAACATTTATGTGCTTCTGTGACTTGTCTAGTAAAGGTTATCCTTGATGGTGGTCTGGGAACACCATGGCATCAAATGCCCAATGCTTGTTTAAATTTTTAGTTTGAATCTTCCAATGTTGCATAAAATCAAATATATTTTTGTTGTGCGTTTTTGGGCCCTCACTTTCCACAGTTTGGAATGACTGGAGAGAAAAGCACTCAGCAAATAAAGCTGGAATTGGGAATCCAATCTGCAAATGCAGCTCACTGTCACAGGTAAATCTGTTTTTCTCCATGCTACTAGTGACCTGATGGCCTGTCATGTGGGGGGTGAAAAAAATTAAATAAGATTGTACCTTCAGGGAGTGCTACATATTTTATCTCTATTTCATCTGTTTTCCCATAATATCAAAGCTGTGTTTAGTGGATAGAGATTTACGATCAGACAAAGATACGCAGAGCCGAAGAATGTGAGAGGATGATTTGCCTTGTAGAGCTGGCTATTGTTGCTGGGGAAGTAGAGGCTGGTTTACAGCTTGCTTTTTCCCTCTCCATCTGGGACTGATTTGTATCTCTATGATGCATGTAGGAAATGTTCCTGGCCTTTTTCTAAACCTAAAGACTGTGTTTTAGGCACTCGGTAGTGCAGGAGTTTCTGAACACCTGAAGTCAGGCAAAGCCCATTGCTGCAAAATGCAGCCTTGTCTTGTGTACTGTGTGGGTATCGTACATTTTTATATGCATGTCGTCTTTTTCCTGTAATTTAATAATAGGCATATATAGATTGGTTCAGCTGCTGTTCACATCAGGACATTGTGTATGCATTTTCCCCTCCTGTTAGTTGAAGCTATATACATACTAACCTTTTATTTCTTTGTTTATTCTCCTTCTGCTTTATTACTGAATACTGTGCAGAGATAAAATTACTTTGCTGGAGGTGGGAGTTATCTCACTAAATAGCTTGTGGCTCAGATAGGTGGCAGGACATATACATACATTTTTGCTTCAAGCTGTGATTGATAACTAGGGTGTCAGGTATTTGCAAGAGGCGTTTCACATAGCTGTCATCTTCTAGGGTTTCACATGGATTGGCCCGTTCTCCATGGGACAAACTGATCAGTGGATGTGCTGCAGTCATTTGTAGCTGAATGTTTTGGCTTGTTTTTTGCATTTCAAAGAGTATCAACATCTCTATTTGGGATGTGGACTCGAGTAGGATTTAGAGGCTGGGTTGTGTCCCTTCCCTTGCTGATATTTAATGTCAAAAAGTTTTTTGCTATTTTTACCATTTTTAAAGGCAGAGGTGAGCATTGGTGATTACATGCGTGTCTTAAGGACCTTTAAAATATTGCTCAGTCTAAAAAGACAAAAGTAAAATGGGTCTTGCGTATGGTATGAGAGCATTCATTACCACCATTCAGGATCAGGGATCTCTTCTTGGTAGTTTTTTGTGGGACTGAAAGAAAACTGCAAATAGGCTTCTTGCTGACATGTTGCAGGTGTATACCACATGCCCACACTGGAAAAAAGATGCGGTTGTGAAGGTCTTGATGACAGACAAGGGTCTAAAAGGCCTTCATCTCCAGGTTTTAGCTAGTTCATCTGCTTTTTATTTGCATTTCCCTTCCTTAGAAGCATTAAGAATTTTCCAAACACGATATAACTTTGTACCAGTCTATAAAAACTATATAAAGTCCTTTTCTCCGCTGTAAGGTACCTCATTGAGTGAGGTTCCATTTAAGCCAGAGAAAACTTACCCACCAGGACCTTTGTAATTTTGAAGTAACTTTTGACAAAGAAAACACCTGATGAAATCACTTGGAGAACAGCATGGTCCCCCCTGCAACTAAAGGTATTAGAGAAACTTGATGTTTTTTCTTATCAGGTCTCTTGTTTCTTCTGCCAGGCTCAACATATTGGCTCAAAAAGAGAAAAAAAGAGAGAAAAAAAAAAAGTTCTTCATCTAAAACAATATTTTTCACAAAAATTCTCAACTCTAAGTATTTTGTTTCTGAGGACAATATACTCAAGGCTGGATTTTTAAGATATTACAAAAGTAATCATTCTAAATTGAAAAATCAGTCAGTTGAGCTTTTGTTTGTGGTAGGCAAATGATTTTAAGAGTCATTTTGAACACAGTGAAAGCAATGCTTTGATTCATTAAAATTGCTGGATAAAATTAGTTGAGAAAGTGTAAACATCATTTTCCAGAAAGTGCTCCAAATTTATTTTCATCTTTTTATCTAAACAAATTCTCCAAATATAATTTTGAGGAATGGAAAAAATCTATGATTAATTTAATAGGCACTAAAATTAGATGCAGACAGGGAAAATAGTTGTAACCGTGTGGGAACTGGCAAAAGGATGCTGCAGTGCAGCGGTGTCACGATGTCACTTCAAACCATCGTGGCTTTTTTTTTTTTTTTTTTTTTTTTTTTTTTTGTCTTTAGTGAACTTCTCTGACTCTCTCCTTAAGGAAGAGTGTAGTGTTTTCAGTCTTAAAGTTGGTTTTCCTGTAGGATAATACTGGTTTTGATTAATATAGGAGAACTGTACATGTGTGTCTTTGCAGGGAGCTAAATATGCAACAGAGTTTGTGCTGTACAGTGTACTCAGTGCTACATGTCATGAGAATGTTGTTTAGCAGGTTGCAAATGATGCTAAAGCCAAAAGTGAAAAATGTGTGCATTGCTGATCAGTGAGGCTTGTTTGCTTTCAAAGAGCCCAGCTGCTGTGAGTCAGGAGGGAGCAGAGTAATCGCAAAGGAGGGAGTGCCACTAGGGTAAAATGTTCACTCTGTGAAACCAAGGCGTTTGACAGCTCGCAAGGAAAACTGTGCCTCAAATGTAGGCACTAGCTAATACAGAGTGTGTTTCGGTACTTTTGTGGACTGAGAAGTTTTCTGCCTCCATTTGTTCTTCACTTCATACTTTTAAGCTCTTGTCTGTGAATCAGGGGGCCTGCATATCTTGGAGCCCACAAAAATACAAGGTCTCTTGTACCAAAATATATTTGAGGCAAGGAAAGATAAAACCACAAGAGAGCTGACTGTCTCCATCTCCCTGATTCTTGAGGCTGATAAAGCTTTCACAGTGACTTATGTAGCCCAAGGGCTGCTCTGTGGCATCAAAGCTGGCTCTGATGTGCTGTGAGGCACCCCTGTCTGCGTCTCCCGGCCCCGGTGAATGATATCACGCCAGTAGGTTTCCTAGAAATGTGCTGTGTACAAGGGACTGCCTCACTGCAAACCTCTCCTTTTACCCACCAGGTCTATCCTTGCACCAATGATAAAGAATGTGAAGTTGGGCGATACTGTCACAGTCCTCACCAAGCAACATCTGCGTGCATGCTGTGCAGGAGGAGGAAGAGACGTTGCCACAGAGATGGCATGTGCTGCCCTGGGAATCGCTGCAACAACGGTATTTCTGCCCTTTTCTCATCTTTTTCTCCCTAAACTGAGCATTCTAATTACTACTGGAAATAGTTATTTCTCTGAATTTTCTTAGGAAATTCAGTCATATTTGCATGACTGTACTCTTTTTCTAAACAAAGATTTAAAAAAGTTCAAATACTGAATACAGTGTTAGCTGTATGTGTCACTTGTCCTGACTTCTTTTTTGGCGGGGGAATTGAAAAGATCCTGGATGATCTTAATATTATGTTATACTCCTAGAATAAGATAAAGAAAGCCTGGCTTTCGAAACTGTATAGGAAAACAGTCTAATCTGTGACTCTGTTAGTCTAAGATTTAATGACTCCATGAACTACTGAAACCACTCCTTGAGGGTTTAAACTTATGTCTGTGTTCCTATGCTGTGTACCGACATATCATGTAGAGACTGGTGTGAGCCCTCTCAAAAGCAGGCACCAGCTGCTTAGACCTTAAAGCAGCGTGATCTGAGGAGAAGCAGTGATGGTGAAGTTGCATGCCTGGGATCAGTGACTGACCTGCAATTAGAAATAAGAGGTCCTCACATTTTCAGGGTTCCCATCCTCATCCAAGTGTATCTTTCAGCTGCTTTTCCTCTTGTTCAAAGCTGTGACTGACCAACTTTTCCTTGCAGGTATTTGCATACCAGTGACTGAAAGCATCCTTACACCTCACATCCCTGCTCTGGAAGGGCCACGCAACAAGAAGAACGGTCACTACACTAGCAAGGATTTGGGATGGCAAAATTTAGAGAGGCCGCAGTCCAAGCTGTCACACATTAAAGGTAGGATCACATTTGCAGTATGATGTTTTATTCCTTCATATTAGGAAGCCAAATACACCAGCACCAGCACAAAACAGATATGAAACAGATAATTTCAAGGGAATTTAGGGAGGTTTTTGAATGGCCTTGCCTGTGAATCTGTCTTGAAAGTTCAGAGCATGGCTCAAAACTGGTTTAACATCTGCCAAGAATTCCTGTTCTTGAACTAGCATTTGCTTTCTTTTTGGTATTAGACATGGAGCTAAAATTTATTCTTCAGTTGTTCAAAACTACACCCATCTTCCTCTTTCAACAATAATGCAGTTAAGCACTTCCCATTTTACTTACAAAGCTGTAGCTGAAATTCTCCTTATTAAGTCTTACGGCAGGTCTTCTCAAGTGCTCTCTTGAACCTTGCTCAGTTCATCTCTTCCATTTATTTCCATCTTCCAAGCAGCTACAGGTGGCCATGTCAGCTCCCATTTCTTGCATCGCTGCATCGAATCTGTGCGATCTCTCTTCCCCACAAGCTAAAATAGTTTTTTTTTCTTTTTTAGGACATGAAGGAGACCCCTGTCTACGGTCATCAGATTGTATTGAGGGACACTGCTGTGCTCGCCATTTCTGGACCAAAATTTGCAAGCCTGTATTGCATCAGGGAGAGGTATGCACCAAGCAGCGCAAGAAAGGCTCCCATGGACTGGAGATTTTCCAACGATGTGACTGTGCTAAAGGGCTGTCTTGCAAAGTATGGAAGGATGCAACCTCCTCTTCTAAATCAAGACTTCACGTGTGTCAGAAAATCTGAATGAGGTTTGGGAAGATACTGTTAAGTAACTGTGGTTTTATGTATGGTGGGAAATGAGGACTGCAAATGAAAACAGAATACTAAAGCAACTATTAGGTAGCAGTAGAAATCACACCCAATGCGTTTAATTCTGAGCCTGGGGTAAGCGCAGCTGAAGTCTTCCCATTGTGCAGCTCTTCTGTAAATAATATCAGCAGTTTGTGGGAAATGCTAGTGTGCAAACAAGTACAGTGGAAATTAGTGCCACTTACCCTTCTGTCTTGTCCCAGGATGTTTCGGGGTTCAGTGTTAGGGCTAAAGTGGATTTCCAGTACGGTAATGACTGCTCAATAGATTGTATACATTGCAGCACTGTATTCCCAAGTGAAGCAGTGCTTGCCAGGAAGATTTGTCTGTCAACACATTATTGATTACTAAAGTATTACACATTGCAGGTGAGAGAGATGGAAATACAGTTACTGTGAATGTCCACACACCCTTGTTACTGGGGGCTGATGCTTCAGCAACAGCGCACTCCTGCAGGACAAGAGTGCTACATTTTGCAGACCCTCACGGAAGAAATGAAAAGTTGCAATCTCCTGATTGCAAGCGAACGGCAGTTTCTCTAATTAGAAGCATTTAAGCAGGGTTTTGTACCTATACATAGAAGACTGAAATGCTTTATGTAGTTCAATGTCATAGTATGGCACTTAATCACTTGTATTTGTCTCTGTTTATTGCTAGCATATATTGGCTTGAACAGATGAAGCAAATATGTGCAGGCTGAATCCAGAATTATATACAGGCAGTTGCTCATTAGTCCTAAATATACTTTCTTTGTCAAAACATAGTTGCATTATAGTTATTTCCAAAATACATAGCGGAGTGTTGATGGTATTTGAAGAGCTGTAGAGTTGCGCTACTGTTGCTGTTATAACAAATGATGTAGGCACCTCTGGGGGGTTTGGCCTGTCCTGCTAACTCAAAAGTTTTACCTTCTAATGGCAGTAATGGGCTAACGTTTGCTGATAGTTCAAAACACGGCTGCACTTCACAGAAGCATTTTTGTTGCTTAGAGACAGCAAAGGTGGTGTTGGCTCTTGCGAGCAGCTTCTGTCCTGCAGAAAAGGACACAAGAAGATGGTACAACTGCAAACAACTCAGTATAAAGATCCTGTGATGCTGCAGTGTGCCACCCTCCAGCATGTATCCAACCTAAACTTGATCTATCCTAAGCCTGGGCTATTTGGCCAGGGATGATGGAATTACGTTGACTATGATACAGCTAACAAATCTACACTGTTTGTGTTCCGTTTCAAGAAAAAAAAAAAGGACAATCTCCATCCCTTGACTTCTCGCAGTCTTTTACATTGTTCTTGTTTTACTTATTTGCAAGTACTCCTTTGTGTAGAGATTGGTAAAGAGATTGATATTTCTTCAAAGAAGTCTTACTCTGTAGCTGACCTCCTGCTAGGCTGTAATTACCCATTTATAATTATGCATTTTCATGTTTTGTAATACAAGAGACTTTTCTGTTGAATCAGTTGCATGCAGCTAGGTACAGCAGTAAGTAGTCATAAGGCCATATCACTGTACTTGACATACCTTTTCCCACTGATACACTTTTCCATCATTGTTTGTTTTAAAACTATAGATTATATATATGCACAGTAATAAGGCTCAGAAAGAGCATAACTCAATATACTTTAAAAAAATCAAGCGCAGGAGTCAACTGTGCAAGCATTTAGTTACCCTGATACAGGATGTACTCAGCCAAGGAGTTCCACTGCCCTGGCTGCAACTGCGCGTGCAAGTCAGTGCTACCCAGTGGGAGCAGGAGGCGGGTGAGGGGTGCAGAAACTGGCTCTCAGCAATTTTTAGCTCTTCCTATCCTCAGCCTTACCTGCCTTTTCCTCTCACAAAGCTTAGTTAGTTGAGATAATTTATTTACAGGAAATGTTTAACAAGATGTATTTTCTTATAGAGATATTTCCTACAAAAAGCTTTGTAGCAGAATATATTTGCAGCCTGTTGACTTTAATGCAGAAAAATGTATAATAAGATTAAATATATTAAATGTCCTTTCTTATTCCTCCCTAAATATTTGATCCATATTTCTTACCTGCTGCTTAAGAATAAGTTTTTCCCCGAAAGGATATGCATGTCTGTGGTGGGGGGTATCTTTCGCTGTACGGGTAAAAGCGTATGATCATACTTGTGTTTCAAAGAGCTATGTAAGCAGAGGTTTGGTAAAAATGCATGAAGCCCACCTCAAAATCTCTGTCATTTCTACAAGGCTGACTTAAGTAGCAATTATGTCTATGCATCTCTTGGGAGAATTCACAGGTAAGGTTTCAGGAGTAAGTTCTGAAAATAGCACATCCAGATCCATAATGTTCAGTCTAGTAACTTAAATAAGAAAGGGATTTGGACACATTCCCTGGATACACAACACTGAGCAAAGCTAGTATTTAAAGTGCATGGCATTTTGTTACATATTACAGCATACAAATGCATTGCTGCAACTGGTATAACTCGTGATGTTGAAATGGCCGGTAACATCCACCCTGATGCCAGGAAGCAATCCATACGGCAAACTGAACCTATTACCACTAAAAATTACTAATAAGAACAGCCGGATTCTGATCCCAGTGAAACCCATGCAGATCTCAGTGAATATTGCAAAATAGTGCCTGTGGTTATTGAGCAAGGGTCTGTGTGTTTGTTGCCTGTTTCTGGGAAGCTTTTGCCCAGCAGATGTGTATAGTTGGAGAAGGGGACTGTCTCCCCTTAGCACAAGGCCTGGTACAAAATGGAAAAGTTTGGCTACTGTTATTTACAATATTTGCGGAGCAGTTCTTTGAAAATTGCAACACTTCTAAGTTTAAGACACAGTTGTGAACACTTCAGCAGGGCTTGACGCTGCCAAAGCCTTCGGAGATTTAATCTGGGAAAAAAATCCTATGTGCACAGACAGATCTTTACACACCACAAATACTAAGCCATGTATCTGGACTGAACAGCATGCAAGCAGTTCACAAGGCTGGAGCTTGGTTGTACGGACACCAGTCAGTGAATATTTTGGAGAAATATACATCAGTTTGGGAATAGTTGAAGGCAAACAACAGCTAAAAGTTGAGGATAACTAGTTTTACTCCGTGCTTTATTCATTGTGACATTTCAGAAATGTACTGTTGTTGCAAAAATGTTAATGGCAATTGCTAAGCAATTAAAATACTCTGGCTATTAACTTAGAATAGGCTCAGGATTGCAACACCTCCTTGGAAATACTTATCACCTTTCATAAAAATAATGGCTTTCTACTCTATAACAGCATATATTTGCTTTACAATATATATGGATGTCAATCTATTACTATAGTATTTGCTTTGCCCTGTTTGTTGTTTGCTATCTAGAATATTTATGATTTAAAACATTTTTAATGAAAGCAATTAAACAGATCTATGCCCTTACTTGTATAATTACACTTTCTACAGCCCGCATCTAGTACCTGACACCTAACACACAGTTCACTGAAATCCCTTCTGCTGCATTTTCTGGCTTCGCTGCTCTGTCTCAAGGCAAAAACTATGAATGTTCTTGGGCAGAAAGTGGGAGGTAAGAGGCATCCCTAAACTGTTCCTTGTAGCAACACACCAACTCTCTCTGCTTTAGCTTGAGACCTGTATTGACCTCCAACTGAAAATGCAAATTTACCAAAGAAAATCTAGGTTCTTTCAAGGTTTCTTCAGTCTTTTCTTCAGTTTTGGGAAAGCTATTTTATTTTTTTTTTTTTTTAAAAACGAGATACATACAAGGATAAAAGCAACAGAAATATGGCTCTGGAGTGGATGATTTCAAGGCTCTTGCATATATATACATATAGTTTCTTACCTGGCTCACCCATGTGATGGGTGGTGCCTTTCAGAGCTGCAGTAGACCAAGAGCATGTTAGTGCTTAGGTGTGTGCTTCCTCATTTAAAGTGTTAGACATGCCAACTCCCCCAAGTTCAGCAGAGCTCCTGCACCTTTGGATGGCTCCCCAAAAGGAGGAGGCCTGAACAAGCACTTCTGGATGTGCAAAAAGAAAACCTGAAAATAAAAAAAAGTTCAGTGATAAGTCTATGCCCCCACCCTGACAAAAGCACACATTTTACTGTTTTCTATGTGTGTGTGTATATATATGTATATATAGGGGGAGGTATAGGGGAGGTAGGGGCAGCTGCACAGAGCTGGTACTGGAAGCACCCCTGACCTCGCTGCATGCGCAGCCTTGGCTGGAGCGCACTGCAGCCTTGCTGATTCTGGCAGCTCCCTGTCTTTTTTTGGAACTCCTCCTTGTTATAACAGGAGCATCAACTTATTTAAAAATATCTGTTGCCAAAAAACTTTTTTGTTTGTTTTTGTTTTTTACAGTGCCAGCTTGCAGCTTAATTTAGAGGTGGCTCCCTGCAAGCCAGCCTCCCAAGGCAAAGGACATCATCTGTTGAGGAAACCAATATTTTAGACAGCATGGGCACCTTTTTTTCTTTTTAGGAAAAAAGCCATTTACGAATAGAGATACAAATATTAGCCTTTGAGTCTGTGGCAAAACTCATACTGTTGTAATTCCCCCTGCTCTTCCCAAAACTGGGCAAAGAGTAGGCAGCAAATCAGGAAAGACTTCCTGGTGTGGCCTGTGTATCCCTGTTTTTTTAGTCCTGAGAAACTATTCCTCATTTCTGAGACTATGTAGATTATTCACCAACAGTGACCCCTTAGTTTGCACAAGGACTTTTTAAATAACAGATAATGTGTGAACTTTTTTAAAAAAATCAATTACTGGTCATCCAAGAATTCAATAGAGTTGCAGCACCAGTGCTCACAGATACTTTTTTTTTTTTTTTTAAGTGAAATTTTAATGGCACAGTAAAAAATAAATTTAAATATGCTCATGCACATATTAAAAAAAAATGAATAACATGGTTCTGGAAGCGATTTACCAAGTATTTTGGTTTGTGTCATGTTCATGACTCCAGTAACTATACAAAGCTTTACAAACATCTACCTCAAAAATG